ATTTAATTATATTTTTTTAATTCTATTATTTCTAAACTTCTTATTTTTTTACTTTATATTTTATTTTCTTTTTTATTTCGTTTAGTTAATTATTTTTTTTTTTATGTTACCTTATTTTATTTTCATCTATTATTAGATATTTTGGAGTTTTTATTTATTTTTTTATTTAATTTTGTTTTGTTTAGTCTTATTTAATAAATATATGAGTTTTAATATTTCTTTTTATTTTATATTATATTTTCTTTATTTAATTCAATTTTATTTTATTGGTGTTTGGTTTTGTTTCTTTTTATTTAATTTAATTTGTTTATTTTATTTAATTTTTATTTTTAAAAAAAGTATTTTGTTTTATTTGGTTTATTTTACGTTGTTTTATTTTATTTTCTTTTAATTTTTTTAATTTTACTTTATTTGATTCCATTTTATATCCCCATATTTAATTTATTATAACATGCTTGAGTTTATTTAATCTAACTACATTTTTTCCCTTTATTTTATTTATGTTTTATTTAATTTAGCTGAAATTTTTTTATTTGCATTTTAATTTATTTGCTTTTTTATTCTATTCCTTCAGCTTTTTCATTTTATTTTATTTTAAAATATTTGAGCTCATTTTGTTTAATTTTATATCTTATAATTTTTTCAGTGTTTAATTTTGTTTTGTTCTGTTTAATTTTATTTGCTGTGTTTTATTTTTTCGTAATTGTTTCATTTCTTTTTACTTAAATTTATTTTATTTTCATGGTTTTCTTTTGTATTTTTCGTTGTTTGCTTAGTAACAATTAAATGTCGGTTTTTTCGTAAAGTATGATTTTATGTATAGAAACAGAATAAAAAAAATCGTAGATATTTATTAAATTTTTTTTTTTAAGCGTCATATGAAAGGTTTGTCTTCTATTCAACCATCTTTTTAAGCAAGGACTGAGCTTATGAGTCCAATTGCCGATTACTAGAGCTTTGGCTTTTTAGGTACATTGTCTGTAAATATCAGCATAATTTTCTTCTGGCTTATTCTTATTTTCTTACCCTAACTATTAAATACCTTTGTAGAATATTTCAATAGCATCATCAGCATATTCGAGTTTCCACTATTCAACCATAATTCAATAACACTATGCTATTAAATAAAATTGCATAGCATGATATGACACCATTATATACTAGTTCTATCATCTGAAGCGTCATTTCCAATAATCTGCACAATATCCACATACACAAACACATACATATGCATAACAAGCTTGAAACTCATATGCTTTGGCAATTTGTTGAGTGGAAACCCAACACAAAATGGCAACAAAATGTGCATAAAACCAACAGAACCCATCATCAAAGCTTGCCGAGAGGAGAGTATGAAATGTGCATCTGTGTTTATGTATGTGTGTGTTTTTAAATGCCTTCACACACGTAAATAACCCGTCCGCCATTCGTTCAAAAGGGCATTCGGGCACTTTCAATGAAACCTCACTCTCTTCCACAGCTTTCTTGTTGTAGTGGAGTTTATATAGCATGCGATATATTGTATATATATGGATATGTATGTACATATTCAGAAGAGCCGAAGGTGCCAAAATATTTGCACAAAGTGCGGTTTTCGAGTTAAGTGTAATATCGCTAGCAAGTACATACGCATATACATACATACTCGTATATGTGATTACAAAAATCTCTATGTATTTAGGCATTTATGCAAGCAGTCGAATAAGTAAATATGTAAATCTATATATGGAAGCTCCACTGTGGCACTCTAAACTCATCCATTTCATGGTCAACCATATCAATAATTGAGTTAATGGCTTTTGTGGTTTATTTCCAATATCTAAAATATCAATTTGTGTGAAAATAAAGCTCTTGCTCACGCTTCACTGTTTGTTCGTGAATTTCGACCAAAAGCAATATTTCAAGGTCCAGAATTCATATTCCCCATTTCCATGCTTCGGGGATTGGAATAAGCGCCGGCACAAGAGGATTTTTTTGAAAGCAAAACAATAATTTAGACGAATAAATAATTTTTTTTTAAAACAAGAAAATTCTTTTAAACTCCTCGTTTAATTTAAGCCCAAAGTTTAAGCGGGGCGCATTAATGGTGTGGTTAACATTGCGTATTACTTTTGGAGAGGCCAGGGATCGAGTCCTAACGTACTTAATTATAAAAATTATTTTTTCTAACTGCGGCTGCTCTCCGACAGGGAGTGTTAAGTCCTCCGAGTGGATTTCTCTCATAAAAAGAGCATATCATGAGCAACCCCCAGCTGTTCGAAAGCAGATTGGGAAAGAATGCAAGATATATCCATTTAATAAAACACATCACAACGCTCGAAAATCGCGTTAGCAGTTGCAAAGCTTAGGTGTTAATCCTAGTAAAACTAAGATATCTCCATTTTATGTTCCCTCTTTCAGCGGTTCCATAACTTCTCTGTCACCAACAGTTAAATATCTAGGGATAGGGATCGATATCAAATTGAAAATCGAATAAGAAGACCTTATATTGCCTACTGGAGCTGGAAGAGAATACTGGGGCCTTAAACCGAATATACCCTTTAGACCCATTCTTACATATGGAACGATGGTTTGGTCGCTAAAAACATTTAAAATTAAAAAATTAAATGGAATACCCCGTAGCCATAGACTAGCGTGGAGTTGAGTGGTTACATCTGTCTTTCAAACTCAGCTAACATCTTCAGAAGTATAGCAGAAGTATAAGGTTTAGAAAAGGCCTGTGGAACTCTATTGAATAACAACAGCAGGTTAAAGAAAGCAACTATGTCCGAGGGGGTCAACAAAAGTTCGGTCATAGGATAGATCAGTTAAAAATTCCACCACAAACATAATTCTACATTGTGAATATTAAGTAATTTTAAGTAGCCCTAAAAGAGGATCAAGTACGCTTTGTTCAATTTTTCTTAAACAAATACGAAAATCGTCAGTTTAGCAACTCTAGTAAAGTCGTTACTGGTGACGAATCTTGGTTCTATAAGCACGATCCAGAAACCAGCTGCTATTTCACTCGAAATGGATCAAACGGTAACGGTAAAATGGTATACCGAAGAGTGCTTACCAAGACAGGAAGAAAGAGGATTTGGAATAACGAGAAATATGGTTACGATCAGGGATCGAGGAAATACGTCCATCAGTCCCGATATAGCACCCTGTGATTTCTGGTTATTTCCACGAATTAAAATCATTTTGTAGACTGTTTTCAGATGTGTATCTCTAGGCTAAAGAATTGCATTGAAATCAATGGCGATTATGTAGAGAAGATAAAAAAGACGAAGATTACGAGTAAATACAAAAGGATTTTTTTTTTCTGGTGCACTTACCGAACTTTTGTTAATCCCTTCGTTCATAGACAGCTTGGCGGCTCTGCTGCCCTTGTTGTCGCCAAAGATTAAAAGTTAGTCACCTATTGCAGATAGACCTTAAGCACACTGGCAGGCCAAGTCCACTTATCGATAGTCTGGTTTCCCGGTAAAAAACATTGAAACATCAAACATGAACAGAACGGGAAAAAGCAGACGAGTTGGCTAAGTCAGCAACCTCTCCTTTCATTAACCAAAAAGGAGCTAAAAAGAGAAAAAAGGTTACGAAGAATTTTTTTGGTTGTGCAATATTAAGTCAGCTGACATTTTGTGCAAATGCACATTTTTTTCCGGTGTCTCCGGTTTAGTTGATTGAACCACAAGTCCGATATTGGTTTTCACCTAGTGTGAGCACTTTGTTGACGAGAGATTGGATACTGCCCTGGCTACTTGTTCTGCGATGATGGAGACTCGAGTGTTTGTCCTTATGACGAGCGATTGTGATACAAAATGCGCGTCGCGACATCCGGAGTTTTAACTCTTATATGATAGCCTCCCTCTAACCCAAACATCATATCAACGGCGTCTACGTGAGAGTCGGACAATTTGCAATTTATCCGTTATGCCACTTTAGCCAATACAATACAATACAATTTAGACAATAAGAGGTGTTATTTTGATATTCAAATAAAAATTGCATTTTTTAAATAAAGGTTTGGATGTTTATTTCAATGTAAAGAGAAAGATTCCATCACCAAATCCCAAAGTGGCTACTGTAAGCCCTCAACAGCTTCATGAATTCCATCTTTGAGGTACTGAATCGACGTTGGCCTGTTGGCATAGACTTCACTTTTCATGTGGCCTCAAAGAAAGAAGCCGCAAGGTCACCTCTGCGATCACCTCTTCGAGAGATAACATCATTTACCATAAAAAATCTATGGTTTCGCTGCTGGTGTGGCATCTTGTTAAAAGTAGATGTTGTCCAAATCAATACCATCCAATTGCGGCCATAAAAAATTCTTAATAAACTCTCGACAGCGAAATCCCAACACCGTAACAGTTGCTCCAGCCTCATTTTCAAAAAGTTCCAATGAACGCACCTGACCCTAAATCGTGTCAAACTGTTGATGACGATGGAGAGGCTTTTCAACAAAAATCTTTGAGCCTTACGAGCCCCAGATGCGACAGTTTTGCTTATTGACATAGCCATCGAGGTGGAAATGAGTCTCATCGGTGAATATGACTTTTCGCTGAAATTCCGTATCATTTTCATGCATATCGAGGACCCGATCAGCAAGTACACGACGTTGCTGATGATCGGTCAGCTTCAGTTCTTGTGATAATTGAACTTTATAAGCGTTAAAACCGAAGTCTTTACACAAAATACGGTGTAAAGATATTTGTGGAATGCCCAATGCCAGAGCTCGATGAGGGAAGGATACGCCTTTCTTCAAAATAGCACTTCCTATTGGAAAATCATGTAGTAGAAAATATTTTTTCTACCTAATAACTGAACTTATATATCAAACACAAAAATTGGATTCCTCAAATTGTCAGTGTTTCACTGTACTTAATTTCCTAAGTCATTGCACGGCCCCTTTTCGGGGTGGTTATGATTAATTCATATTAATGGAATTAAAATGCTTAAACAGACATTAACAATTCTCATAGAACTTAGAACAAACTTACGTATGTACATACCTTACCGTGACACTCATTCATTTCGCATAACCTCATCAACCCACTTTTCCGCCCATTTTCGAGCACTCAAACCAACTCACGAGCGCATTAGCCTGTGTGCGTATGTGTAAACAAACCCGATTCAACTCGAACTCCTTATACTCGTAGCCACACTAAACAATTGAAAATTTCTTCAACAAATACTTGACGAAATAATTTTCAAACAATGCGAAGCAACAACAAGAAGCCAACTGATTGAAGCAATGAATTGTTTGATTGAATGAATGATTGAATGACTCTGCTGCTATTCACTGTCTACTTACTTACATACATGCATTTCCATTTTTCGCCAATTGTGCAATTCTTTCCTTAAATTTCCGTAATTCTATTTAGGCATTTGAGCCTCACATGCGTACACACAAACACACGCACATACGCACACATATACAAACATGCTTCGCTTAGCATTGCGAAAATACAAAATCAATAAATCAAAAGAATTTCTTTTTTGGTAAACACACACACACACACACAACTGCCTGAGTGTGTAAACAATGGGTTAAATAAAAATTGCAAATTCAATTCAATAAAAAGAATTATTCACAAACGTTTGTTGTTGACTGATTTTTTTTTATTTTTTATTTTTATTCAATTCGTTTCATTACAATTTTGGTGGCGTTTCAATTGAGTTTGATTTGAAAGTGAAAAAGTTCATTGAAGAGTATATTTTAAGTAGGTATTTTGGCTTAAGTGCTTAAAGTCTATGGATGTGTGCATGGTTCTATATATGTGTGTGAGTGTGTGTGCACGCTTGTGTGAAAAGCAGTCTTTAAGCGGCAATTTCCTGTGCTGCGGAGAGACACCAATTTGAGAGCTCAAAAAAGATTTGGTGTTAGCATTTCTTATATTTTCAGATCTTTTCAGATTTTTAAAGAATAAAAATTTAACAAAATTTAAAAAATATTTTATTTCATTTTTTTTACTGTTAGTTATTCATTTCTGTAACTTCATTTTTCTCTTCTTATTTCGCACTTGCAGATTCCACCGAGTCATCGCACCCGTTACATATTTTACACAACAACAATAACAACAACCACATGAACAGTCATAATCTTAGCAATAACTCCAGTAACGGTAGTAATGGTAGCAATAATAATTTAAATATGAATTCATTACATCATAATCATCATTTAAATCAACGTGATGAATCGCCCACAAATATGGAAAATGGACTCGATGTGGATAATGATGATGAGCTGTCAAATAGTCTGAATAACGGTCACGATTTAGGCGATATGGAGCGGCCGCGTAAAGTGCGAAGGTAAGAATTGATTTGAAACAGTTAAAGAGATTTAAGGAGAGACAGGTGGAAAGAGCAAAGGATTTCCCTCTCTCATTTGCGAAAAAGTGCTTAAGAAATTTTACAGCAAAGTTTAAGAACCTCAAACGCTCTTCAACCGGCAAAAAATTTGTATATATGTATGTGTTGTATAAATATGTATTTTCTTTAACCCATACATATGTATGTGTATATGAAGCAACACAAAATTTTTTTGCATCAACTTCAAATAAAAATCTCTTCAAAATTGTTTGTTGCTCATATTCTGTATATATATATGTGTTAAAGAAAACAAAAATCCGCTTAAAAATCGTCAGTTGGTTTGTGAAGGAAATTGAAGAGAAAAAAAATTTAAATTAACAATCGCATTAAATTTAACTTCTATCGTCGGCTTTCGATCTTCTTTCATTTACTTGTATCGCTTTTATACAAACAACTCGCAATTTGCTTTATTTCATCCATAGATCACGCACAACATTCACAACATTTCAATTGCATCAATTGGAGCGCGCCTTCGAGAAGACACAATATCCGGATGTATTTACAAGGGAGGATCTCGCGATGCGTTTGGATTTGAGCGAAGCACGTGTACAGGTAAATAGACAAAGTATTGCGATTCCATTATCTATTAGCATGTACTGGTGTTTTTCATACACACTTACATACGCGTACATAGCATATAAATACTTTGTTCTGGTGCCAGCCTTTGGCTTGCAACGCTCCTGTGAAATCGACTGTTGCTCGAGAGTTTCTTATCTGATTTCGTAATTATTTACGGATTAGCGCATTCTAACAACCAACAACAATGCCAGCTGCAGTGCAGATTTTTTTATTGGTTTTTTATTACATATACAAACAATTTTATATCACGCTTTTTTGCTGATGTTCCCATGACGACTGCAGGATTGTTGCAATTTGGTACTCTTAAAATCACCTATAATGGACGCATTAATAGCGGAGCAATTGTCAGATCATATGAGTCAATTTGATTGTAAGCGGATGAAGATGTATATGAGATATGTAATTGGGAATGTTTCTAAATGAGGGTTCTGCCCCTCTGTGTTAGCTTCGACTTAAATTAAATAAAAATTAATAAAATAAAATAATTTAAAATAAAATATAAAAAAAATAATATAAAAATATAAAAATAAAATATAATACCATAAAATTCAATGAAATAAAATAACTTAAAATAAAATAAAATTTAATGAAAATATATAAAACCAAATAACTTAAATAAAAATAAAATAAACATAAATAAAATAATAAAATGAACAAAAATAAAATAAAAAATAAAATAAAATAAAATAAAACAAACATTTAAAAAATATATAATAAAAAAACGAAATAAAATTAAATAGAATAAGTTAAAATATGATAATATAAAAAAAATATATTCAATAAAAGAAAAAAAAATAAATTGAAATGAATAGTTAATTGAAATAAAATAAAACAAAGAAGAAAATAATTTCAATTAAAATAAAATAAAATGAAATAAAACAAAATTAATTAAACAAAGAAAAAATTATAAATAAAATCATTTAAAAAATGAATTAAAAAAATTAAATCAATCAAAATAGAAAAATTAAATAAAATGAAATATTTAAAAAAAAGAATTAAATAAAATAAAGTACAATGAAATAAAAAATTAACTTAAGTATATATAAACAAAAAGGAATATAAAAAAAGGAAAATAAAATATAAAAAAATAAATTAAAGAAATGAAAATATATAAAATAAAATAATAAAAAAAAAATTAAAATATAATTAAATAAAATAAAGTAAAAACAAATAAAATTATTAAATTAATTTAAATAAAATAAAGGAAAATAAAATAAAAAAAATAAATTAAAGAAATGAAAATATATAAAATAAAATAATAAAAAAAAAATAATAAAATGAATAAAAATATAATTAAATAAAATAAAGAAAAAAGAAATAATAAAAAGCAAATAAAATTATTAAATTAATTTAAATAAAATAAAGAAAAATAAAATAAAATAAAATAAAATAAAATAAAATAAAATAAAATAAAATAAAATAAAATAAAATAAAATAAAATAAAATAAAATAAAATAAAGTAAAATTAAATGTAAAAAATAAAAAAATTAAAATTTTATAAAATTAAATAAAACTAAATAATACATAATAAAATAAATAAAGTGAAATTAAATAAGAAAATTGACTAAGATAAAATAAGACAAAAAAAGTGATTTAAAGTAAAATAAAATAAAATGAAATAAAATATAATCAAATAAATAAAGTAAAAAAAATAGAAAAATTAAAATAAAAGAAAATATTATTTAGAAAAATAAAATAAAAAATAAATGAAATAAAATAAGAAAAAAATAAAATATGATAAATTAAAAAAATAGAATAATATACAATAAAATAAAAGAAACTAAAATGAAATAGTATCAAATATTATGAAATGAAATAGTCAAAAAGGCTAGATAAAGAAAATAAAATAATGTAAAGTAGAATAAAAACTATATAATAAATATAAAAGTAACGTAATTAAAAAATGAAAAGATATTAACTTGAATTAAATTAAATCAAATAAAATATAAAACTGACATGAAAGATAATAAATTAGTATCATTTACATCAGTGAGTTTTTTTTTTTTTTTGATAAAAAGGTGATATTGTATTGTTTCCAGAAATAGTTGTATAAAGAAGCCAAATAAATTTCTTTTAGTTATGTATGTATTTACATATACAATATATTATATTTTATGTAATAACTTTCTTCCCACATTCACTACAAAATCTTACTGGAAAAAATTTGTTCAATAAATTTTATTAGCTACAACGAAGGTATATCAACATAACATGTATCTGTGTAAATATAATACATATATTCTTTTATAATTTTTCTCGGCTTCAACCCTGTTAAGTATAAGAATGTCTATACAAATTGTCTGTTATTAAACCAGTTATAAGCCAGTTTAGAGCATGCATATGTATGTGCGCACATACTTAACTCACCTACGTTTAGGTGCATATACGCTTGCACCCGTGACGAAAGCGATTGTATAATTTTTTAAACATCTACATATACTCAAGTACATTTTATTTCAGTTTTTCTACTCTTCTTTTTTCTCGCTCGATTTCCCGCCACCAGTCAACAAAGCTCATGTCCTTCCAAGTGCATTAAATCCGAAAATAATTGCCATCTTCATGCCAACATGTTATCCGCTCCGAGTCCATTCATGTGTCCTTTAGGAAAAAAAGTCCACATACATGCACACATATGTGTGATTGTGTGTGCACATCAGAGTGCGCACAACATTACCAACCTTGTTGTGAGTTCAAATACAAACAAAAAAAAACTCAATTGATTCAATGACAGCAAACAAAAACAAATCCCCCTTTTTACATACGTGTATACATATATGCACATACCACAAGTATGCATCCTCGCATCAAAAAAAGGACTTCTAAGCGATTTAGTGACTACTAATCGGTGTATTTAAAAATGTTACAACACGTTCATTTAATCGTTCACTATGTTGATAACGGTACACATGTTCTCGTGCGCGGCGTCTGGGAAGAGCGCGTTGAAGGATGTGAGAGTGTGAGCGTGTATTATGCGATTTTTGATTTTTTTCACAAATAGATGCTATCAATGACCAATTTAGCTAACAAAATGTATCTTTTTTTTCAACGAATACAAAACAACACACACACATACAATACGTGTATGATGCCATGTGTGTACGCGGGTCTTTCAGCATATTATAATCGCTACAGTACAAGTATGCTGTTGACGTTGATCGTAATTTTTTTTTATCCAAAAGGTATGAGCCACGAGTACAACGATTGCAAGTACTTAGCATACACATACGTATGTACACATATACATATATCAATAAATCCGTTTCTGTTAATTTATTGTTCAAATTGTCCAATGCGCTGTTGTTGCTATTTCTGTTTTTCTATTGCCATCATTAGATATTATTGCATCATTAAAGTAAAGGGGATTTACTGTCGTTTGTATATATATTTTGTTGATTGATGATCAATCAGGTTGGAGGGGTGAAGTTTGTGGCATATGCTCATACAATCGTTGCCTTTACATTAAATCTTTTTGGTGTTGTTAGGGTCAAATTAGTGCAACAACAAACAGAACAAGTATTTAAAAGCCAATTTTAAATTTGCGCCCTTAATGGCGATGCCTTTGAATATGAGGCGCATACAAAAAAATGGTTGGGAACTGAAAGCATAAACTGATTGAAAATGTGTTAGCTGATAAGTACACCTACTAGATGGTTGATGATGAGATATTTGTATCAACACTGAAACTGAAGCGTGAATTTAAAAGGTTTATAACAAAATTTACATCAGTCGATTCTTCTTTGGCATACATATGTATGTACAAATGCAATTGCTTATAGGCACGCTGATAACTAGCTCACAAGATAAAAGATGTTAATTATTGTTTTTTGTTATTGTTTTATATAATAATAAATCATTTCTTATTTTAGTTAAATAACTACAATACATTCATTTATCTAAATTTATGTGTTTTTTTATTTTATTTTACTTCATTTATTTTAATTTAATTTATTTTATTTTACTCTATTCCTTTTTTCTTCTATACTATTTCATTTTATGTTGTTTTTTATTTTATGTTAATTTATTTTTGTTCCAATTTTTATTTCTTTTTATTTCATTTTATTTTATGCTGCTTTTTAATTTTAATTTGTTTTATTTGATTTATTTTACTAATTTAATTTATTTAATTTAATTTAATTTAATTTAATTTTATTTTATTTTATTTTACTTTATTTCATTTTATTTCATTTTATTTTATTTTATTTTATTTTATTTTATTTATTTTATTTTATTTATTTTATTTTATTTATTTTATTTTATTTTTTTTTTATTTTATTTTATTTTATTTTACTTTATTTCATTTTATTTCATTTTATTTTATTTTATTTTATTTTATTTTATTTTTTTATGTTACGTTATTTTATTTATTTTATTTCCTTGTAAATCATGTTGTTTTTTATTTTAATTTGTTTTATTTGATTAATTTTTTTTATTTTCATAATTTTTTTTAATCTTCTATACTATTTCATTTTGCTTTATATCTTATCATTTTATTCTAATTTAATCTATATTATTTTTTTTATATTTTTAATTTATGTTATTATATTTTATGTTGTTTGTTTTATTTCGTTTTTTTATTTTAATTTATTTGTTTCCATTCTTTTATACTATTTCTCTTAATTTTATTTCATTTCATTTTAATTAATTATATACATACATATATATATATATATTTATATATATTTAATTATTTATTTTTTGTTATTAATTTATTTTGTTTTATTTTATTTTAAGTTGTTTTATTGCATTTTATTTTATTTTACTTTATATTAAATTATATCTTATTTTGTATTAATAGTTTTATTTTAGTTAGTTTTTTATTATGTCTAACTAATTTTTTAGTTTTGTTTATAACTAAGACAAGTTTGTTTAGTTATATATAAGTACTCAGATTCGAAAATCTTCGTTATAAATAACCCTTAGCGAGTAGGTACCTCAATTATGCAACGAAATCGACGCATACAAATCAATGACAC